GACATATATTTCCTTACCTGAGCAGAAGTTCTAGGCGGCCAGTCTGATTGAGCTCCAGCTCCTGCAGGCGTTCTTTGTGCTGCACTTCCCTGAATATTTAGATATAAAAATAATTGCGGAAAGCCATTTCCAGTTCTTGGATATGCTAATGAGTAAGTACCTGTCTATCGTATGGGTATCCACGTGATCCGGCTTCGTCTCCTCTAAAAAATAAAAAGGTTCAAGCATCTTTAGAAGTGCACAAATACATACGAAGATGAGCAACATAGATAAATCAGCAGTTTTACGATAACTCGAATCTCTTTTTACCTCGGGAAACTCTGGCCTTGCGGTTGTGGATAGTTCCGGCTCTAAAAAAGCCTCTTTTTTTCAATTCAGGCCAAACAACCTATTTATCTGACTACAATTAAAATTTATCACATTTGCGAACAATCGAGTTGTTCTGTAATCTAAGGTTCAGACACCTACCTCATATCTTGAATCGCTTCGGCTTGGATAATATGCATCCCACTGTGCTTCTAGAGCCGCTGCAACCTAGAAAAACGTCACATAAGTTCTTGCTGAAGACTGAATGAAATGACACAAGGAGTTAACAGCAGGATAAGAACATGCAATCGTGGAAACCAGGTAAGTTACATGCCAGATTCCCAAAAACAATCCAAGAAGTAGAGATTTAATCTTTTCAAGTCATTACTTCTCGAAAACATCATTTTGTCAAAACATTCTTGTTTTAGAGAGAGGAAAAACACATTCTTGCCTAAAGATCTTTGAAGTTTTGATAGTATATATTTTAATAGCACCAACGCATGGCAAAATTGGGAAAATCCAAAGTAGAAAGAAAGAAAAGTATCGAATTAGCAACTCTAAACTTTTTTCACAGTCTGAGCATATTGTGAATAGGTTGAAAAGATGCAGTGCCGATATTACCTTTAACCAAAATATTTTAACCTTGATTTGATTTTGGTTTTGAGTTTCTAATATCAGCTTTCTTGTAAGGATTTTGACTCAAAAGAGCGCGGCAAAATCAAAAACCACACCGCTGAAAGAAGTTCGTGAATTTATTTTTTTTGTAGTGAGCACAATTTATTACGATACTATTGAAATA